GCCTAAAGCGGGGTAACTGAGAAAGGACAATATAGGGAGGCGTATGATAGACCAGGGGAAAGGAGAACTGCGTGGGGGAGGCCTGATTTACTAATAGTTTGTAATGGAGCATAATCCTTTCTTTCTGACACTGTTTATCTCTGGAAAGGAAGAAAAAAGTTCATTGAACTCCATTTGGAAATACTGATTCCTGCCAATGCTATTTTTAAAGCTAGCTATTAAGAGCTTCAAGATCCAAGCTCTGATCCACTCCTTGAAATGCCTGATTCCCTCAACATTCAGAGGTCTCTGATCTGGGAGTTGGCTGGACCCCGTATAAGTGGGGCCATTCCCAAATCCAGATCCCGTTTTGGATTCCAACGCTCACACACTGTTTGAGTTTAGGGGCATTCCAATCTGTGGGATTGGTTTGGATGTTCTTTATGGGTTTGCCTCCACAAAATTGCTTCTACTCGAAGGTGTGTCCTTGCTGTTCTCTACAGCAGTGGTTCTCAGCCTTTCCAGAGAACTGGACCCCTTTCAGGAGTCTCATTTGTCTTGCATGCCCCCAAGGTTCACCTCACTTAAAAACCACTTGCATACAAAATCAGATATAAAAATACAAAAGGGTCCCAGCATGCTATTACTGACAAATTGCTGACTTTCTCATTTTTACCACAGAATTATAAATCAATTGGAATATCAATATTGTACTTACATTTCAGTGTACAGTATACAGAGCCATACAAACAAATCATTGTCTGGAACTTCAGTTTATACTGACTTTGCTAAAGTTTTTTCTGTATCCTGTTTGTAAAACTAGGCAAATATCTAGATGAGTTGATGTACCCCCTGGAAGAGCTCTGTGCACCCCTGGTTGAGAAATGCGAACCACAGCTCTCAGGTTTCCGTGGTACCCGTCTACAACAGGAATGATCTCAGGGTGACCAGATGTCCTGATTTTATAGGGACAGTACTGCTTTTTGGGGCTTTTTCTTATATATTCTGCCCCCCTCCCTCCCCCTGACACACACCTGCTGTCCTGATTTTTAACATTTGCTGTCTGGTCACCCTAAGTGATTTGCACGTAGCTGCTGCAATATGAAATCTACCACCAAGATGGGGCAGTCAATGGGCCTGGTTTCAAGGCAGTGTCCCATGCTTGTGCTGCAGGACTTGGCAATGCATTGCCACAAGGCCTTTAAAAGTTCCATCATCATGTCTATTGAATTGCTCTCACAGAAATAATGACCGCTCATCAGCCCTGCTGCAGCTAGTTCACACATCAGGGTTTAGTGGTGTAAGGCTGGGGCAGCCCCCACGTTGTTGTCATTTGAGTACACTCCCTGCGCAAAGCTCTCCTTGCCCAGTGTATTCAAGTCAGCATGCCAGGATTTTTCCTCTCCAAACGTCCTTAGGATATCGGTCAAATTCTGGAACGTTTGACGAGCTGAAACCCCAGATGCTGCGTTGTTACCAGTGCGTTGTCAGAGTCTATTTAAAGAGGAAGCCCAAACACCAGCCTGAGAGGAGGAGAATGAAAAGGGATCACTGACTAGTTATTACCAGCAAGGTTAGATGCAGAAGCACTTGGATCCATGGGACACCAAGGCAGGCTGCATTAGCAGCATGTTCGAGTAGCTAAGGCAACTACTCTAGGAAACAGAAATTCCAGGTGTTAATCCCAGCTCTGCCCCTGACCTACTGTGTGTCTTTGGATGAGTCACGTCGACTCTTTGTGCCTCAGTTTCCCCATCCATGAAATGAGGATAATGATATTTGCCTTCCTTTGTAAAGCGTGTGGGGATCTGTAGATGACAAAGCATATAGAGGTGCCAAGGATTATTTATTGTCCATGCCAGTCATAAGCTGACAGGAAGGATGGCCTTGTGGTTCAAGCTCAGGAATGGAAATCGGGAGGCATGGGATCTAGTCCTGGCTCTGCTGTGACCTTGGACAACTCACTGCCATCCTCTGTGCCTCACGTAAGATGGAGATATCCGTGCTTTCCTACACCACAAGGGTGTTGTGGGGCTGAAGGCATTAACCCCTATAAAGTGTTCTGAGACCCTTGCATAAAAAGTGCTACAGAAGAGGCAAATGCTGTTACTAAAACACCGTAAATGTCCAAGCACTGTACAAAGGATTGTCCCCAAAGAGTTTACAGCCAATGAGACCTGGATCAATAATTCAGGAAAGGGGCAGTACAGAGAGACTGCTGGGTAACAAACACTCTCACTCCACAGACACAAAAGTGGAGAATGCCTACCACACGTGTCCCGGTGGGTTTCATCGATTTTAAGGCTAGATCATCTCGTCTGACCTCCAGTATAGTATAGGCCAGAGGAACTTCCCTGAATTCATTCCTGCTTCAAGTCCAGTAGCTGTGGTTGCTCTAGAGCAGAGCTTTTCGAAAATCCTCCACAATCCTTGGTAAACTGATCCAATAGCTAATGAGCCTCACTGTTTAGAATGTGCACCTGATTTATAGAATCATAGGACTGGAAGGGACCTCGAGAGGTCTTCTAGTCCAGTCCCCCGCACTCAAGGCAGGACTATTATCTAGACCATCCCTGACAGGTGTTTTTCTAACCTGCTCTTAAATTTCTTTAACGATAGACATTCCAAAACCTTCCTGGACAATTTATTCCAGTGCTTAATCACCCTGACTGTTAGGAAGTTTTTCCTAATGTCAAACCTCAACTGTCCTTGCTGCAATTTAAGCCCCTTGCTTCTTGTCCTATCCTCAGAGGTTAAGGAGAACAATTTTTCTCCCTCCTCCTTGTAGCAAGCTTTTATGTCCTTGAAAACTGTTATCATGTCCCCCTCAGTCTTCTCTTTTCCAGACTAAACAAACCCAATTTTTTCAATTTTCCCTCATAGGTCATGTTTTCTAGACCGTTTTTGTTGCTCTTTTCTGGACTTTCTCCAATTTGTCCTCCTCTTTCCTGAAATGTGGTGCCCAGAACTGGACACAATACTCCAGTTGAGGCCGTATCAGTGCGGAGTAGAGTGGAAGAATTACTTCTCGGGTCTTGCTTACAATACTTCTAGTCTGTATTTGTCTCACTTCAGCTTCCAGCCATTAGCTCTTATTATAACTTTGTCTGCTAGATTGAAGAACCCTCTATTATCAAATTTCTGTTCCCCGTGCAGCTACTTATAGCCTGTAATCCAGTGTAATCCAGCCTTAATCTCCTCTTTGATAACCTAAATGGAGTGTCCTCCTTGGGGCTTTCACTATAAGACACAATTGTGAGATTTGGGAACTCGAGGATTAAAATGGCTGAAGTGTACTTTAGGTGCTGACAACACCCAGCACGTGTTCCAGACAGGAGCAAGGGCCCCAGAATCATTGCCCTGGCCCGCCGATGGTCTCTGCATCCTGCTTCACATGAGACGTCTCTTCTCCCTCTGCAGTTGGAGGAGCGGAGTGAAACTGAAAGGAGACAGTGGAGCTTCACAGAACTTCAATGGTTCAGCAGATCTCTAGGGAGGGCGCGAATAAAAAAGCAGAGGTGGCCTAGCCTCCACCTTCTCTGACCCGCCTTGAATCATGCTCTGTTTGGAATCCTCATGCGTCAATACATCACCTGACCAGCAGCTGGGGCTGGAGCTCTCTGTATAAATATGGTGCTAAAGGCTCTGTGCATTGACTTTAAGTTTTCCTCTGGAGCATGAGCAGCTGCTCCCTGCCAGAGGCAGGAGATATTGGTCTAGATGAAACTAACAATCTATTCCAGTATAGCAAATACTTATTAGCATTTCAATCCAGCAATCTCAGTGCAGGGGAAAACGCCAGAGTCTGAATGTTTTACTGCACCAGGAGATTCTGTACACAGCTGCCAAGTTGAGGAGGGAGAGCTACTCCCTTTGGCTGATCGTGATAACTGGACAGCTCTCGTGGTGGGTGGGTGTGCGTGCGCACATGTGAGAAATCACATACTACACTAGGCCCAAGGTGACAACAACATTGTGCCGAAACTAAAGTGTCAGTTTTAATGTTAATACCAGAAATGTGTCAAAAAAAGGATGGATCTGGAAGTGCCTTTTCTACCCCCATCACCACGCTAAAGGTCTGTGTATATCTCTGCAGCTTTAGCAAGAGGAGAGCAATGACTATATTGTTAGGTCTGCACTTGCCAAGAGCAGATGCAGTGTGACATGGTTTAACTGTTATTCTCATGGGGTAGAATCCGCCCCTGTGCAAAAGGCCCACCTAAGTCCGTATGCAATTCATAATCCTGGTGCAGACCCTTAAAATTCATGTCATTTAAAAAAATAAAATAAATGTGGGGCTCTTTAGTTGCCTTCTGCTTTTGGAGCTGCTAGGCATTACATTTTTGCATTTTTCTACACAAATATGAGGGCTAGAGACCTAATTTTCTTTAAAATGAAAGCCGAGATTCCCACAGAAATCACAGGACTCCAGGAGCTGGGACCCTTCTGTGCTGGAGTGATTTCCGCCCAAAAGGATTAAGATGAGGGACACACAATTGGGAATGAACCTAACTGTATTCTAAGGTTCAGTCACAGGAGCTCTGCAGCTATGCTGGGTAGAGGAAACTATCCCAGTCATATTAGCACAAGCTGCCACAGAGCGTTACCAGTTTTCAGCAAATAACTGTCCACATTCTTGTGACGTATCAAAGCTTGGCTTCTCCTCCCAGTCGTTATAACAGCAAATAATCAAAGATTAGGCCAGCACTTTGGCTGGAATAAACTGGCACAGCTCTACTGAAATCAGTGGAGCTACACACCATCTGAGGTTTTGGCCCTTAGTATTTTACCTCCTCCCTACCTGGAGGGATGGGAGTTTGTTCCAGCAAGGGCTGCATTTGCCATTTTTACAGCCCTTCACAATTTTACCACCTTCTCCAACACATTTGAATGGCAGCTCTGTCCTTAACATAACTTACCACTTTACAACATGGTCATACAAGGACAGAGCTCTCTGGTAAAACCTGATCGGTGCCTACAATTAATAACCCAACCTGCTCCTGGCAATGATTGACAAAATATTTGCATTTCTTCGCTTGTATTTTCATCCATGGTGAGGTGACACATCCAGCTGTCTGTGACGGGGACTGTCTAATTCAGGAGGCTATTCTGTTTTCTTTCCTTTTCACAAAACTCTCTGCAGTTTATTACCTCTCCTGCCACACACAACCTCACTCCTCCTCCTCTACTTAATCACTTAAGGTTGATGTGACTTTATATGAACCTGGCTTGAGTCATGTAAACCTTGGTGCCATGTAGTACTGGAGAGAGACTGACAGAAACAGTTCTGCGGTGGGTGGAATGATGGGCGAGACCTTAAGAATATTCTAATTTTCACGCTAGACAGGGCTGCTAATTTCAGACTCAAGTTTCATTTGGAATTCCTCCAAAACCATGTTTTTATTTCTCCATTTCCTCCTACCGTTTGTCTCAGCTGCTCTCTACGTTTTTTAGTTCCTCATGAATCATAATGGGAAAGCCCCTGGGGTTATGTTCAATCTCCTAATGACAGAAAAAGGGTATAAAATTTGGCACAGGAGAGAGGTTGTGGAATGAATGCCACCTGTCCATCTTTCAGAGAGTGACGGGAGGGTCACTGTGCTCTGGCAGTATTAATTGGAGGCAGATGTAGGCCAGACCCTCAGCACTGACTCAATGACTTCAATGCAGCTGCGCCCATTGACCCCAACCGAGCCTCTGGGCTGGTAGCCACACCAGCCACACGCTTTCTACAGTGGATTCCCAACACATGCCTCCCACAGAGAAGACAAATTAACAACAGCCACACTTAACGTAGAGACAAGCAGTCAGACTGATTAAAGAGCTGGGGGAGGGATTAATTCCCAGGTAAAGGCCTCCAGAACTCAATGTGTGACACCAAAGGACAGCTGAGGGGGTGAAGGTGGGAGTATTTGCAAACCCCATGGCTGGGGGGGAATGGGTGTTAAGATGACACCGAGCATGGGAAAATGGAATTCAGGGTGCACAGGAGGAAATACTTCCTGGCGGCGAGGTCTGCCGGACCCGAGGGAGGTGATCAAGGGCCCTTTTCGTGAATCACTTAATGAGACACAGTCCATTTGAAATCTAGGGCGTTTCAACAGTGGGGTTTTTAAGTGTGTTTCAGGCCTTATCTTGCCTATTTTGGGGCTGGCCACCCCTCTCTCTAAATGTTAGTGGCTGTGTGAAAGGCCCATGCCAACCAGTGGGGGAACTGGCCCGACAGGGCCACCACTGAAATGGCCTGTGCGCAAAGGCATGCTAAAAGGCCTACAGAGAGACGGGGGTTATTTTTTAAAGCTGTGACCATGTCCCTTTAAACAAGGATATGAAAAAGCACCACAGAATCCACTGAAAGAGACCCATCTGGCCTCGGCAGGAGGTGGGGCTGGATCCTGCCCACAATGAAATCAGTAATGAAGCTTTAATTGATTCAAAGGTGAAGGGTCAAGCCTAAGTTCACGTCACACTTTTGTACCCCTTCATAAGGAGATTGTTTAGTCAACACCTCCCCTCCGATTCACCTCACAGGAACTCTTCCCTCTCCCATCTCCCTGGGCCAACATAAGGGAAATACTGAATGTCTTTTTATATCTATTTAGCAGCCCAGCCGTGCATGCCCTGTGTGGCCCCAGAGGTCCCTAGATCAGTTTGGGACTACATGGTCTCTCCCATCTCAAGTGCCAATGAGTGGAACATTTGGTAACATCACTCCAGCACTCCTGCATGGCTGTTGTTTGACTGGAAAAGAATGAGGACATGTCGAAGGAAGCGAAGCCAGTCCGGGAAATCCCCAAACCCCTCATCATTGCTCCATTCGCTTGGCATCCCCAGCGGCTCTGCTGTGGTCTGGGAACTCAGCTAGAGAACACAGAAGTCGTTGTTGTTGGACAAATCGGGGTACTGGCAGAAGGCAAGAGCCGAGAGCTGTGCAGCTGGGGGCTCTAGTCTGTTTCCGCCCGAGACTGGCTTGCAGAGGTGAGTCTCCCATTTGGACTTGAGTACGGCTCGGCTCTTCTGCTTGAGTTTATCGCCATTGTCACAGTACGTCACACAGCACTGACATGGCATGAACGGCTTGGCTCGGTGCTTGGTCTTTGACCTGGGGGCTGGGGCCACCCCACTCTGAGCTGCAGCGCCCATTCTGGAGCTCTGCGGTTCCAGCTGGCCTTTCAACCTGCTCCTCCTCCTCTGGACGTGATCCAGGCTGATGTCTGACTGCGAGGAGCAGCTCTCGTTCCAACCCGAGCTGGAGCTCAGGCTCCTCAGGGGCAGGGCGAGGTGTAAGGCTTTCCAGAACTTGGAGCCGGACGGCTTGGATTTATCCCCGTCCCAGGTCACAAAGGAGACAGACTCCTTCAGTTGGAGAATGCCAGGATGGGTGACCTGCAGCGGCCTGTACTCCACCACAATGAGCTTGGTGGAGATGGCGTTCTGGCACACGATGCCCAGCTTGAACTCCAACAAGCTGATGCTCTTCTCAGTCAGGTAATCGGGGCTCAGCACCACGATCATCCTCCGGCTTCGCTGAATGAAGTCGAAAACTGCCTCAGTGGTATCTAGAGAGGCAAGGGTGAGAGAGGAGAACAAAGCCAAATGAGGCTATTTCACTGGACACATGCATGGCCCTTCCCAGCTGGAGAAGAGAGAAATTGGTTCATGCAGTCCAGCCAAATGTTACTTGCCCATGGTCCCGGCACACAACAAATATCAACAGCTGATATTTTTCAGTCAGCATCCCCATCACGGTGCAGGTTGGCAGGCAGACTCTGTGCCTGGTAAGTTTTCTTTACAAGGCTGCTAGTGAATTTAGGAGCAAACCATACCAGGTCAGACCAGTGTTCGATCTGGTCCATTATTCTATCCCCAACTGTGCCAGGAGCACCTACTTCACAGGAAGGAGCAAGAGTCTCCCCAAGGGATAGGTAGGGAATTACTTGCCTATAGGGCTTACAGCTGTTTTGCATCACTAGAGCAATGCAAATGTTTTTTAGAAGATATACTCTCTGAATTATTGTGGGGCAGGTCTCTGGCCTGTGCTCTGCAGGAGGTCAGACTAGATGATCACAATGGTTCCTTCTGGCCTTGGAATCTAGGAAAGCAAACAGTTCATCTGGCCCTGAGAGCTTTTTTTTCAGAAGGCTACACCTGTAACGGACATCACTGGGGGCTTCTCGCCAACTCCAGAAAGCCACCTCTTCTTGTCTCCCATTGGACATCCAAAAATTGAAGCACCCCAAATTAGAGCCCTTGGAAAATGCTGGCCCTTGACTCCTCCATGTCTCAGTTCATCCTTCTCTAAAGTGGGGACAATAAAAGTACTGCCTTGCAGAGGGCTTCATTAAAGTTTGTACAGTAAGGGGAGCTCCTTAGCTGGAAAGGTGCAAGACAAGCCCTGTGTATTTACTATTAACAGTATTGAAATGGGACTGAAGCAAGGCACAGCCTTAGCCTTCCTGGCTATAGCTCCGATGACGCGGGTTACACAAAGTGTATTAGCTGCTGACAAATGCAAGAGTTGTGGCTAATGGCTTCCCAGTGAACAGGCTAGAGATTACTAGGGCTGTGCCACTTAGCAAATTCACTCTCCCTAATTGACATTATTACCATGAAAACCCAACGAACACAGAAGGGCTCAGTGGTTTGAGCATTGGCCTGCTAAACCCAGGATTGTGAGTTCAATCCTTGAGGGGGCCATTTAGGGATTGGGGGCAAAAATTGAGGATTGGTCCTGCTTTGAGCAGGGGGTTGGACAAGATGATCTCCTGAGGTCCCTTCCAACCCTGATATTCTATGATGGCACTAGTCTATGATGGCTGGCCTCGCACTGTGAGTGATGGCATCTGGCACAGGGTAGCTGGGGCTGGTAGTGTTTAACCAGGGCAGAGCGTGCTGGAGGGAAAACTTTAATAAACACAAGAAGAAAAATCACCTATAAAGAGCTGCCTTTGCACAGGAGCGCACCCAGCAACTTCCGTTGCCCTTGTTCAGATCCCTGACGTCTAGGAGCTGCCACACGGGAAGGTTACGTTGCTGCATCATTGAGCAGTTTTAACAAGCTTGTCTGGTCTCAGCTGTACAATACAGAACCAGACCGCGGGGAGGACGGAGACTGGTTTTTCCTGCAATCCTACTTGCTAGTGATTTTGTTGTGAAGGTCTCTGGTCTGGTGCCTGCACATTTAGGTAGCATCTGTGCGCACTGCAGAGCACCCCAAAGTTATGTGCAAAAGGAATCTAAAAGCGACAGATTTCTATTAGCTCTTTAAAGGCTGTAAAGTTAGAGTACATCTGGTGCCCTAAGCATTCATTTGGCTAGCAGTCTGGAAAGGCTAGTTTGTGCATCAACAACCTGCTAGTATGTAGTCAGGAAAGAGGCAAGCCTGAGCAGAATGAGAAGCCTTCCCGGACAAATGGGTGATGGGAGAATAAGCCTAAGGGAGAGGTTGACTTTGATTAAGGATGAATTCCTAGCTCTAACACAGACTTCCTGCGTGCCCTTGGGCAAGTCACTTACTCCATGCCTCAGTTTCCCCATCTGTAAAATGGGGGTAATAGCCATGCCATCCCCCTTTTGTCTTTTTAGACTGAAAGCTCTTCAGGGCAGAGACTTTCTGTGTGTATGTGTGTGTGCAGCCCCTACAACAAGGGGGCCCAGTCCTGATTGGGGCCTTTGGGTGCTATTTATAACATGAATAGGTACCGCTATTTGGATGGCATACATGTGACTAAGGTGGTACCTAGGCCTCATGATGCTGGGTCTCTGCACAGGGGTGAATTCCACCCGCTAGGGTTCTATTTACAATAGATGCTGCCGCTGGGACAGAACATTTTGCCTTGGCTACACGTATTTGCTGATGAAGAAATGGAGTAAAATTAAACTCAGGAGAACCATGCAAGGACTTAAATGCAAAAGTGAAAATAAACATTTTATTTAAAAGTAAAAATATGTATATAAAACCCAACAACACTGACACATCACAAAAGTGAGAAAACGTAGAATGGAAAAAGGCCTTAAAACAGCAAATGAAATGGAAAGCAAAGTCCATTCCAATGTGTGCAAAGCCGGTCCTCCTCCACAGCGAGATAAAATGAAGGACTTTACATTTAGCTATCTGTTGACTAATGTAAAGTTACAGCACAGTATCAGATGAACGCACCAAATTAAAGGTACAAGCTGTGCTAAAATCCTGCACTGGGAACCAAATGCCATTCATAAATAAGTGGATAGGCTTATTTGGGATGGGCCCCAGCATCTGCCCTATGCAAGGGACATTCAAAAAGCCGAACGCTGGCCTAACAGCTCCCATTGCAGTCAGTGGTAACTTGCATGCTTTGATCCTTCATTGAATTGATGGAGATGGCCTGCTTCTTGGTAATCCTGTCGGGGAATGGGCACAAGCATCTTGAATCATTGATGCTGCTGGAGTTACGCTGACTTACACTAGAGGATGGTCTGGTCCATTATTTTTTAAAAAACATATTAAATCAAACAAGTAAAATTAAACACAGGGATTTTCTGTCCTAAAATAAATCTCTATTAACCTAGTAACTAAGGGTCTCTCGGTACCTGAGCCAGCAGTGAGATGCAAGATGCTAATGGCTGGGAGATGTGGGGACATTCAGATTCCATGCACGCAGGCTGTTTTTTTAAGTCAATTTAGAATGCAACAAAAAGTGGTTGGAGTGTGATGTGGGGCCTTCCATCCTGCATTCAGATGTCACAGCTACTTGATGGTAACTCTGGCTGCGTTTATCGCAAGGAGATGCTTAACGTGAAGAGATTCCAAAGCCCCAGCAGGAAGAAATGGGACAAAACGATGCACTTTACAGGTTAATCCTGGCTTTACACAGTTTTATAAACTGTGAGGTGCTGATTATATCACAAGTGACAACATGAAGACTGAGTTTACGGCGCCAGGAAACCACACTGCAGAGCCAGCGGTGGATTACGGCTCCAGCACAGCAAAATACATGTTTTATCCTAAGCAAATGAGCAGTTCTGTTGACTTCCAGGAAGCCACTTGGGACTTGGAATCATCAGGACTATTCATTTACTTAAAACTAAGTATGTGCGTAAAGGCTTTGCCGGATTGGGACCTAAGCCAGGACGTTTTACAGCTGGGCTCCTTGGCTGTCTCTCCAGGACAGCACAACTATTCCTGTCCAGTTGGTTGGACAGTGCACAGATTCTAGCTGTTTGTTTTTAACAATGGCTCCACAATGCGTGTCCCAGTCTCACCAATGGGCATCACAGGGACTGTGACGCTGGCAGACCAGGTGCCAGCTCATGCCAAGGCCCCTAGGTCCCCACTGAAACCTAACGAATGCAGAGCCGGAAACCCGTCTGGCTCAGCTGTGGGGTAGAAGTATTAAAATAGGTATTCAATTTATAAAAATGTGTTTAGACTTTATGAAATACTTGTAGAATGCTGCATGTATTAATCTCGCTTAACATCTGTAGCCCAGGTTATAAGGTACCATTAAGTGTTTGCATTGTAGACCTCTGTAGCTGTGTAACTCATCAAACAGGAAAGGAGCACTAACTCATGTAAAATGCTGGCTTCCTGCAGGAGGGGTTAGGCCCTGCCCTGCTCTGCAAGAAGGCCCATTGAAACCAAATGAGCCATTGTGAAACATCAAAGAATAAATTGGTTATTAATTGCATTCGCCCCCTTCCCCACCCTATCAGAAGAGGAGACCTGCATGTAAATTCATCCCATCAGTTTGAACTCAGGGAGGAAGGGAATAAAAATGTCCAGCAAGAAGAACCTCAAGCTCTGTGCTGCTTGAACTCTTAGAGGCAAAGATTTCTAAGCCTAACAGAGTTCCCCAGGCCTGGGTTAGTCCTAAAGAACATAGAGCTTGCATATTACGGCACCTTCTATTACCCCTTTGTAACCTAAGACTGTAACCCATTTGTGTGTGTATCTTACCTGCTTTAACCTTGAAAATAGCTTTCATTTTCTTTCTTACTTAATAAATCTTGTTTGTTTATTATAGGATTGGCTACAAGTGTTGGCTTTGGTGAGATACTAGGGTGAAACTGACCTGGGGTCAGTGACTGGATGTTTGGGACTGGGAGTAACCTGAATATTGTTGTGATTTTGCGGGGGTAAAGGACCATCTATCACAAGGACAAGCTTACCTAAGTGGCAAGATAGATCGGATTGCCCAAGGGGACCGTCTGTGACTCCATGTTAAGGCTGTCAGAATGCTTGAGTTCACACTAGATACTTGGTTAGTGAAATCTAGGTATAGGACTCACAACCAGTTTGGTGTTTGTGCCGTTTCTTCACAATTTGCCCTGAGGTTGGTACTCAAGCTTGTGAGCAGCTCTGGATAGCCTGACACTGCTTGAGTGACAGGGCGAGTTACAGGTCAACCAAGAGTTACAATCTTAGCCACAAACAATATACATGCATTTGCCAGGAGTAACACTCAATTCCAGAATAAAGCAAAAATGCCCCCATGTACCAAGACATCTAGGTGCCCCAAGGGAGAAAGAGAATTTTAGGACAATAGTAAATGATTAACAATTCTACAGACATATGGAAAAA